TGCAATTCTCCTGCCTCAGCCTCCCGAGTAGCTGGGATTACAGGCACGTGCCACCATGCCCAGCTGACTTTTTGTATTTTTAGTAAAGACGGGGTTTCACCATGTTGACCAGGATGGTCTCGATCTCTTGACCTTGTGATCCACCTGCCTCAGCCTCCCAAAGTGCTGGGATTACAAGCGTGAGCCACCACGCCCGGCTGAGGTTGCCATACTTTCTAACTCTGATTTCAGATTCATGTCTTGACGTGGTTATGTCATGGGGCTCAGAATATTTGAATCTGGGATTGTCCCCCCAATCCACAATGTATGTAAATTGCTGTGGAAGTAGAAGTTAGGAGAGATTAATCTACTTGCCATGGGGGTGGAGTGCAGGCCTCCTAGGAGAGAGGGCATCCAAGTGTCCAAGCAGAGAAGTGAATGAAGGGAACAGCAAGGGGAACAGCATTCACAAAGGCCCAGAGGCCTCGAAGAGCGTGGCATTTTCAGAAGGCTTCAAGGTGGCTGGGGTGGGAGCGGGAATGGAGGCAGGTAGAAGGAGGATACCTCGTCTCGCCTCCCTCTCCAGGGGTGCCCATTTCAGCTGAGGCCAGGACTGCAGCCCCTTGCCAAGACAACACTTTATAGCTCACATAGACTTTTCCTCATTTCACAGATGAGGGCTTGGAAGCCCACAGAGGGAGCGGCCCCCGAGACACCCAGCTGGACAGGGGGAGAGCCAGTTGGGACCCAGAGGTGCAGACTCTCCTGCTGGGGTTGGACTTTCAGACGTGGGTGGTGGGAGTTGGGGAGGATTAACTTGGGAATGGGGAGGCGCGAGGCAGCATCTCTGCTGGAAGGAAGGTGCAGGGCTGGGGCTGTGAGTGCTGGCCACGGATGACAGCCTGGGGGGCGGCTGTGCGTGTTATTTATGGCTGTTTATTTGAGAGTCCTTCAGGGCTGCTACAGTAATTGAATAAGTGAGGGTGAGCAAATGTGGGCGATCATTTAATTGTGGCAGAAAATGAAGTTGGTTGCAGCTGGGGGCTGCCAGCCCATTACTGCCGGCCCTGGTTTCTGCTGAGCTGGGCTGGCGGGGCTGGAGCTGCCATCCATCCTTGGCCTGCCCACACGCTGTCCCCTAGCAGCTGGCCTGGCACCTGGGCAGGCTGATGGTCAGGGAATTCGTTCTCTGGGCAGCCCACTCCCCGTGGACCCATCTCTGCCCCAGGAAGGCCCGGGAGGCTGCTGTGGGAAGACACAGGAGGACAGGGAGCGCTTGGGGCCTGGTGGCAAGAGCAGGGGTTCAGATCACCACATCTGTAACAGCAACACCGGCAGACACATATAAAGCCCTTATTAGTTTTTATTTATTTATTTATTTATTTATTTATTTATTTTTTGGGGGACGGAGTTTCGCTCTTGTTACCCAGGCTGGAGTGCAATGGCGCGATCTCGGCTCACCGCAACCTCCGCCTCCTGGGTTCAGGCAATTCTCCTGCCTCAGCCTCCTGAGTAGCTGGGATTACAGGCACGCGCCACCATGCCCAGCTAATTTTTTGTATTTTTAGTAGAGACGGGGTTTCACCGTGTTGACCAGGATGGTCTCGATCTCTTGATCTCGTGATCCACCCGCCTCGGCCTCCCAAAGTGCTGGGATTACAGGCTTGAGCCACCGCGCCCGGCCCTATTTATTTATTTTTAAGACAGAGTTTCACTATATTGGCCAGGATGGTATTGAACTCCTGACCTCGTGATCCACCTGCCTCAGCCTCCCTAAGTGCTGGGATTACAGGCATGAGCCACCACACCTGGCTATAAAGCCCTTATTGTGTGCTAGGCCCTGTTATAACCATGAATA